CTGATACACCTCCTAGGCCTGCTCTTCCACCACAACCTTGTTATGAAAGCTCATTGTTAAGGATTTCATTAAGAATTAATTACTATAAAATAATACTGCTTCTTACAGAAAATGAGAATTACAACAAAACACAAAGAAAAAATAAAATTAAGTACAATCCAACTCTGTAGATGGCGAACGCTAACATTTTGGTTTACTGACTTTTTGTCTTTTTTCAAAGAATACATAATACATACACATTCAACTTTTAAAAACATATTAGAAACATACTAATTAAACTTTTGCTTTTACATTAAAATTATAACTAGAATATTTATGGTAATAAATATTTATGAAAAGAAAAATTTTGACTCACTGAATAGTATTTTAAGATAAAGGTTACCATAATTTAATCAATCCTCCACATGCATTTACATTATTTCCAATTTTTGTTATGAAAAATACTAAGCATTCTTATATATAATATTTCTACATATCTTTAATTATATTCTTGTTTTCAAACATTACTAGAATATGAATTTTTAAGGTTCTTTATATGTATTTAAATTTAAAATGCTTAGTATTAATTTTAGAGACATAACCATAACACAGAGAATCAAGATGCCTGTCCAATTCCTAAAGTAGAAATTATTGGTGCACTTATACAAGGCCCACTTTAAATCCTTGGCACATAACGCATCCAAAAGCTTGACATTTTTTGTTAAAAGCTCCCAGAATGGTACCCATGTTACTCTTTGGCATAAGATATTGCTAGACAGGAAGACACACGTCTAAGATCTTTTATCTTCAAGATACCATTTCTTTTTATCATACTAAGTGAAATACATTAGAGAAAGACAAGTATCATGTGATATCATGGAATCTAAAAAAAATGATACAAATAAACTTATTTACAAAATGGAAACAGATGCACAAAGAAAACAAACTAATGGTTGCCAGAGGAGGGGGAATGGAGGCACGAATTGCAAGTTTGGGGCTGACAGACACACACGACTGTGCATAAAGCAGGGAAGCGACGAGGGCGCCTGTAGAGCACGGGAGACTGCATTTAATATCTCAATATATTACATAAGCACTAGATAGTTGTTATATATAACTATATGTGATTCTTAACAATTATTAATTCTATAATAGTCATATATAACATTTACTATAATTCAAGTATATTTCATTATATAATTTAATAATAAATATTTTAATTATAATTATTAGTTATATAGTAATTATGTAATTCTTACATAGTTGTACTATTATATATAGATATATAGTATATACTAATATACTATATATACTACTATATATAACAATTATATTATAATTAATTAGTAATTATAGTAATTATGTTTATTATATAACTATATACTATATCTTAAGATATTAAATATACTATCTCAGAGGTTATTATAAGATATTAAATATAATATCCCATGCTATACAGTAGTCCTTGTTGCTTATCTATTTTATATATAGTAGTAGTGTGTACTTACTAACCCGAAACGCTCAATGGAAAAGAGTCTGAAAAGGAATATATATATATGTATCTAAATCACTTTGCTGCAGTATGCAAGAAACTGTTGTAAACCAGCAATACTTCAAAAAAAGATATCAAATCTTTGTAAACTAAGCCATATTGTAAGGCAGTCTTAATAAAAGTAATAAAAGAATTTTTGAAGTAATATACACGTTTTAATAATATGGTAAAAATTAGTATTTCATACTCATATGAAATATGATAGTATAGGAAAAGAAACTACTTAAAACGAAGAGTGACAAGGGTGACTAGCCTGTTTAGATACTAAAGCATACTATAAGGTGACAATAATTAAAACCGCATGAAAGTCGTCCTGCAGGCGGCCGGACTCTGAGGAGCCTCTGGAGCCTGGAGGGAGAGAGGAGACTGAGGGAGTGAAAGCCGAGCGGAGCAGGACGGGACGTGCTACGGGGCTCCCCCAATCTGTGGAGCGGGGTAAGATGGCGGAGCTCAAACGTGTTCCTCAAGAGATCCAGAGCAGGCTCCTGCCCTCGGCCTCTGTCCCCGCCCCCTTCCCCTGTCCCGGTCTCTCCTTCGGAAAGATGTCGGACACGGCAGTAGCTGACACGCCGCGCCTTAACTCGAAGCCGCAGGACCTGACCGACGCCTCCGAGTAACTACCTGGAGGCCGCCATCTTTATCCACAGATGGTGGGCCTAGGCCGCGCGCGCCTCACCGCCTGTGAGGTTCGCTTGCGGACAAAAGGCAGGACTCCTTCAGACTGAAGCAGTCCCATGTACGACGACGCTACAGTGACTTTGAGTGGCTAAAAAATGAGCTGGAGCGAGATAGTAGGATTGTAGTACCACCACTCCCTGGGAAAGCCTCGAAGCGGCAGCTCCCTTTCCGAGGAGATGAAGGGATCTTTGAGGAGTCCTTTATTGAAGAAAGAGGCAGGGCCTGCAATAAGTTATTAACAAAACTGCTGGGCACCCACTGGCTCAGAAGGAACGCTGCCTACACATGTTCCTGCAGGAGGAGGCAATTGACAGGAACTACGTCCCCAGGAAGGTGCTCCAGTAGGAGCCTCTCTCACCACTTGCCCTCTACTTTCCTGCTGAACTGACATTGGTTTTTGCGCGAAGCCTCTTTCTCTCTTTGACCTGAAGTTGTCTGCCCATCCCCTGGCCTGATAGACTGTCTGGCATTGTGTCTCTTGGTACCTGGCTATACCGCGGGTGCTCTACTAGGATCCTTTTCTCTGAGGAGAGGTGGGAAACCACAGGCAGATGCCCTCTGCTTGGGGTTGGGTAGTGGATGGGGGGGTATTGGACTGGAAGGCAATTTCTTGGGCATTTACCCATACCAGAGGGCTAACCTGGGGGTGGGGTTCTTGTGCTGGTGGGACACTTGGGTACACACTGATGCTGCAAGTCCAGGGGCGTTTTCTTACTCTTAGGTTTAACCAGGAACGCTGAGCAGGGAAAGACCCTGCCTTTCCTACCTGCATGAACTTTTTCCTTTAGGGAAGGTGGAAGAGATCCCTGAAACTCTCATTTTCTCTAGGCGTTTTCCCAGTTTTCTTTTGCTATTCTTTCTCCTTTGTTGCTTTCCAGGGCAGTAGAGTGTAAGCAGTTTGTTGTATGGAACAAGGTGTGTGGGTTTTTTTGAGTCCATCATCTTGGCTGCTTCAGAATCAGAATAAAGCCATAGGAAAGTCGGGGAGATCCTGTTACCTAGCTCCTCCTTTGTGGCGCCCCACTCTGGTTGCCTGTTTCTTGCTCAACAGCAGGTGAGTCCGTATGGGCTGCGCCAGAAGCTCTCACTCCCCAAGCCCTTGCTACTTTTACGGGTTAGCTTTGCAGGTTTGGTGGCTTGGGGGGTGGGAGAAACTCACCACTGCCAGATTAACTCCCTGAAGGGTGGGAGTGGATCATTTTCTAGGTACCTCCCAGTGGTAGGGAAGGATATCACCACTCTCTTCCTTCCATTCTCCCTACCCCCTCATCCTGTTTAGTGCTGTCACAAGCTAGAAACACATGAACAGACCACACAGTCTGACTTCTGAGTATTTTGAGCTGTTGAATAGGGCTTAGGGGCAAGAGGTGTGGCTGCCCTCCCCAGCTTGGACACAGGGTTATTGAACTGCCTATACTTGTTTCCCATGGAACCCCAGCATTCTCCCCAGAAGCTGAGCTAGGGTTAGCTGCTGGGTATAGATTTCCTAAATCTTAGAGCCTGAAGCAGCTTCTTGAGGCCGGCAGCTTTCCTGGGCTTCTCTCTAGGAGGTGGTCATTGGTTTGCTGGGGCCCGATGTCTATCCCAAGTTGTGGGATAGGAGCAGGTTAACTCTGGTGTCAAGTCAAAAGTGGGGGCTCTTTGCTTATTAGACTTCCTATCATGGAAGGATTGGAGTTCTTTGTATAGTCTTGGGGAAAAGGATTACTGATTCTGACAAGACCCTGAACAGAGAGATTAAGGATTGGATTTTAATATGGGGTTTAAGTCCGTCTAAATGTTGAAGTTCCCTGAGACAAACCGCCCCTAGAGAGAGGCTCTTTCCCACCTTTCCAGTATTGGTGGTGGTGCTGCCTTTTTCATCTGTATCCTCTGTTATTGACTACTTGTTTTTAAAGATTCCTTCTTTCATTGTGCACAAGTGCTGAGAGCCTTGAGGCCCCATTTCTGCTGTGTATATATCCTGACTCGGGGCTTTTATTCAGCAAAATGTTCATTCTTCTGTCAGACAATGTCATATTCAACTCTGTTCATGTTAAACCACTGTGAAGCCAAAAATAAGCCACACGGCCCGCATCCAGCCCACACTCAGGTCTATCAATGATGGTAAAGAACATGGACCATTCATGGAGAAGCTTGAAACTCGCATCCACAATCATGACCGAGAAATTGTGCAACTTTCATTTGTTAGGGCTTTGTGGACTCCAAAATAGAATTGCTGAAAGTGAAAGAAGCAGCCCAGGAACTCAAACATCAAGTGACGGATACTAATAGAAAACTACAACATGAGGGAAAGGAACTGGTAATAGCAATGGAAGAGCTGAAGCAGTGTCAACTACAACAGAGAAATATTTCTGCCACTGTTGATAAATTAATTTTGTGTCTTCTAGTCCTGGAGATGTATAGCAAACTGAGGGACCAGATGAAAACTAAAAGGCATTATCCTGAACTGAAAACTCTGGAACATAGGTAGAACATACCTGTCTGCCTCAAGTAAGCCACTGTCGATCCTGCAAGGTGAGGGTAGACAATATCCCCAAGCCTCGAGAAGAAATTAAGGGTGTGTCTATGTTTGATCTCAAAGACTTTCTGGAGAGCATTTGCAACATTCAGACAAAATTTGAGAGACTGCCATGAAGCAAGCTCAAGAAAAAAGAAACCTGGATAACATCATCTTGCAACAACTCAGAATAGGAAAATCTAAGAAAGAAGCATCTACAGTTTTTTGATACAGAGATAGAAAGCACTAGCCCCAAGTCTGAACAGGATTCAGGAATTCTGGATGTTGAAGATGAGGAAGATGATGAAGAGGTACCTGGGACCCAAGATTTGGCTGATTTCTCTCCTGTTTATCAGTGTCTACACATATTCTGTCCTGGGGGCCTGGGAAACATTTGAGAACTACTACCGAAAACAGAGGCGAAAACAGGCTTGTTTGGTGCTCCAGCCTCTGTCTAACATGCATGAAACTTTAGATGGCTACAGGAAGTATTCTAATCAAATTGTCGGCTTTTTTTTCTTTTGTGAAGATCACATTTTACATACAATGCAGGACTTAGTAAATAGAGCCCACATTGGTGAACTGTGGGAAATGGCGCTTTCAAAAACCACTGCAGCACTCCGTACTCACTTGTCTTACTGCTCTGATCCAGACCTCATATTAGATTTGAAGAACCTCACTATACTTTTTGTTGACACTTCAGCTGTATGGTTTTCCTGTAAGTCAGTTTTTTGACATGTTGCCAGAAATCACAGACCAGTACAGTTAAACTTTGCTAAAGAAGTGGTCGGGTATTTTCAGAAACATACTTGATTCTGACAACTACAGTCCTGAGATGTATAAAAAGATGGTAGGACAATTCCCATTCCAAGATACAGAGCTGGAAAAGCAACCATTTCCAAAAGTTTCCATTTTTTGAATTTGTGCCAAAAGTGTACAATCATATTAAAGAATTTATCTACAGCTGTCTGAAGTTTTCAGATCTTCATCTGAGCTCAGCTGAAGTTGATGATATGATTTGTAAATCTACAGACCTGTAGCTGACTAGGACTCTAAACAACTCTCTGCAGAATGTCATTACAAGGAAGAATATTGGACTTACTGAGCTTGTCCAGATTATTATCAATACAACACACCTGGAGAAATCCTGTAAGTACTTTGAAGAATTTATCACCAATATCACTAATGTGCTTCCAGGGACAGTCCATGCTACCAAGCTGTATGGCACCATGTCTTTTAAGGTTGCCAGACATGCAGCTGAAGAAGAGATTTATACCAACTTAAACCAGGAAATTGACCAGTTTCTACAGCTGGCTGGCTATGACTGGGTGACAGGAGATTTGGGCAGCAAAACAAGTGATTACCTAGTAGACGTCATTGCCTTTCTACATAGCACCTTTGCTGTGTTCACACACCTTCCTGGAAAGGTGACCCAGACTGCATGTATGTCAGCTTGCAAGCATTTAGCCACTTCTTTGATGCAACTTTTGCTGGAAGCTGAAGTAAGACAGCTCACCTTGGAAGCATTACAGCAGTTCAACTTGCATGTCAGAGAATGTGGACAGTCGGCCAGATCCGACCCAGTGCCTGGGTTCCAGGAGGACACGCTGCAGCTGGCCTTCATCGACTTGAGACAAGATCCTGGAGAATGACACCCAATTCTCCAACAAGGAGGCTTCTTTCTTCTCTTCCTGATTTCTCCTTCCCACCAAGTCAGACACTAGCTAATGAGCATTTAGGTGCTTCAAGTTCAAGGAGGCAGAGGATAATGGCTACAGAAGCGGACTTTGCTATCCTCTGCCATCTCAGGCCAACTTCAAATATCTTTGAAAATATTGTAGAAACTTCCTGATCCATTTCTAGAGGCTCAGAAATGAGAATGCAACTTCCTGACATTACTATTCAGAGGAGAATTATTTTGTGTTGAATCTTCATTCTAGTCAGAGTGGGCGTGCTTCTTTCTTTATTCCTCTGTATGTTCTTTCTCAAGGAGAGATGGCAATCCTTTCAGTTACCCCTTTAGGAGTCTTAGCCTAGACAAAGTTTCCTCTGTGCCACTTACTGTGATGTCAGATTCAGGAGGTATTTAACTTGACCCACTAAGTGACCGGACACTTTGCTAGCATGTCAGATATGGATGGTGGTAAGGACAAACTGACACTTCTTTCTCATTATACTCACCTAGAATGCTGCCTATTCCCTGAGTACAGGCAAGCACTGCAGAGATTCCCTATCAGCCAGAAACTCAACCGTGCAAATTCCCATCAACTAATGCATTTGATAAATACAGTATAGTATAAGTATGCTTACAACATCTGCTGGATCATCAAAAGAGCAAGAGAGTTCCAGAAAAACATCTATTTCTGCTTTATTGACTATGCCAAACCCTTTGACTGTGTGGATCACAATAAACTGTGGAAAATTCTGAAAGGGATGGGCATACCAGATCACCTGACCTGCCTCTTGAGAAACCTATATGCAGGTCAGGAAGCAACAGTTAGAACTGGGAACAACAGACTGGTCCCAAATAGGAAAAGGAGTATGCCAAGGCTGTATATTGTCACCCTGCTTATTTAACTTATATGCAGAGTACATCATGAGAAACGCTGGGCTGGAGGAAGCACAAGCTGAAATCAAGATTGTGCGAGAAATATCAATAACCTCAGATAGGCAGATGACACCACCCTTATGGAAGAAAGTGAAGAGGAACTAAAGAGACTCTTGATGAAAGTGAAAGAGGAGAGTGAAAAAGTTGGCTTAAAGCTCAACATTCAGAAAACTAAGATCATGGCATCTGGTCCCATCACTTCATGGCAAATAGACGGGGAAACAGTGGAAACAGTGTCAGACTTTATTTTTGGGGGCTCCAGAATCACTGCAGATGGTGATTGCAGCCATGAAATTAAAAGACGCTTACTGCTTGGAAGGAAAGTTATGACCAAACCTAGATAGCATATTAAAAAGCAGAGACATTACTTTGCCAACAAAGGTCCGTCTAGTCAAGGCTATGGTTTCTCCAGTGGTCATGTATGGATGTGAGAGTGGGACTGTGAAGAAAGCTGAGCGCCGAAAAATTGATGCTTTTGAACTGTGGTGTTGGAGAAGATTCTTGAGAGTCCCTTGGACTGCAAGGAGATCGAAGCAGTCCATCCTAGAGGAGATCAGTCCTGGGTGTTCACTGGAGGGACTGATGCTGAAGCTGAAACTCCAATACTTTGGCCACCTGATGTGAAGAGTTGGCTCATTGGAAAAGACCCTGATGCTGGGGGGAATTGGGGGCAGGAGGCGAAGGGGACAACACAGGATGAGATGGTTGGATGTCATCACCGACTAGATGGACATGAGTTTGGGTAAACTCTGGGAGTTGGTGATGGATAGGGAGGCCTGGCGTGCTGTGATTCATGGGGTTGCAAAGAGTCGGACACACTGAGCGACTGAACTGACTGAACTGATACGGTGAAGAATACTGTTTACCAGTGAAAAATCAATGAACTAGGTTTACATGGATCAATGTGAATAGATCTTGGAACCATGTACTTTTTTAGTTGGGGTATAATTGCTTTACAATTGTGTGTTAATTTCTGCTGTACAACAAAGTGAATCAGCTGTGTTTGCACATGTCCCCTCCCTTCCGGGCTTCCCTCCTGCCGCCACCTCCATCCCATCCATCTAGGTCTGAGCTCGAGCTGAGCTCCCTGTGCTATACAGCAGGTTCCCACTAGATATCTGTGAAAGCAAAATATTGAGTGAAAAAAGTAAGTTACAGAATGTTGTATACAATGTCATATATGTAAAATAAAACACAAAACATTACCATAAAAAGTATGATAAGTATGCATGAACAGAGTCACAGATTAATAGGAAATAATATTAAGTCCAGGGATGGACCCAAAATAAATACATGAACACTTGGTATATGATAAGGTGAATTTAAAACTATTGGGGAAAGAGATTATCACAAAAATGTGCTAGAGCAGCTAGAAAAAAAAGGTAATTAGACCAACATCTCATACTTTACACCAAATTCTGCAGTGGTCAAAGATTGTAATGTAAACAACAAAACCACAGAAGTATTAGAAGAAACCAGAGTATAATCTTTAATAATCTTCACATGGGGAATCCATCCTAAGCATAAAAAAAGAGAAAAAAGACCAGATAAAAGATAATGATAAATTCTATTATTTTCAAATAAAAAATATATCCATGGGAAAAAACAAGCAAAGTGAAAGCCAACATTCAGAAAAATATTTGCAGCTTAAGTCACAGACAATGGCTAATGTATCCCACAGATGAAGATCTCCTATTAAATCCACGTGAAAAGACCAATAACTCAATAGAAACTTGAGGGAAGGTGTACACAGATAGTCCACAGAGAAGGGAACACCAAAGGCTCTTCAGTTTAGTTCAGTTCAGTCGCTCAGTCGTGTCTGACTCTGTGACCCCCGAGGACTGCAGCTCGCCAAGTCTCCCTGTCCATCACCAACTCCCAGAGTTTAGCCAGATTCATGTCCACTGAGTCGGTGATGCCATCCAACCATCTCATCCTCTGTCTTAGACCTATGAAAAGATGTTCATCCTCACTTTTTGAAAAATGCCAATTTATACCTGGATAAGATACTATTTTTTTTAGATGCTATTTTTTACTTATTAGATTGGCAAAGATGAATGCGTTTAGTGACATTTTCTTAGTAAAGTCTGGGAAAACAGTGGTAGTATAAATTGATGCAACCTTTGTGAAAAGCACTTTGACAGTACAAAATCTACCAAAGTCCATATGCGTATTTTTATTAACTCAGCAAGTCTACTAGTCTTTTACCTTACTGATATAGTCATTCACACTTGTATAAAACTTCATACACATAAAAGTTTGTTTATATAGGAACATTGTTCTTTTTTTTTTTTTATTTTTTATTTTATTTATTTTTTTTTTTACAAACCCTTGTGTCGAGGGCTGACTTTCAATAGATCGCAGCGAGGGAGCTGCTCTGCTACGTACGAAACCCCGACCCAGAAGCAGGTCGTCTACGAATGGTTTAGCACCAGGTTCCCCACGAACGTGCGGTGCGTGACGGGCGAGGGGGCGGCCGCCTTTCCGGCCGCGCCCCGTGTCCCGGGACGAAGGGCTCTCCTAAAGTTTGTTTATATAGGAACATTGTAATGCAAAGATTGAAAGCAACGTACAAGTCCATCAACAGGGGCTGGTTACAATAGATGATACATTGAAGCAATGAAATATTAAGACAGTCAAAAAGAAGAATAAAAGGAGAAAGCTCCCCATGTATTGCAATGGGATGACTGCTGAGATAGATCGATTACTGGGTATGGATAGCTAGACATAAAATCATTTACATATGCATGTGTGTTATTGATTGCATATGTATCAAGTATCTCTGGAAGAGAACACAGTGAGCTGGTAATATTGACTTTGAAAATGGAAATTGGACTGCTTCATGGAAACTTCTGAATTTTTAAGCATTTGAACATACTATCCTAAAAATTAAATAGAACTACATTAAATTTCTAAAGTTGAGTAGGTTGTTATAATCACAGAAAACAGCTTGGGTCCTAATGAGTTAGTCCCAAGAAAAATAAAGGAAATATCTAAGCAAAAGGTCAGTAACCAGGACCTGTTGTTCCCCAAAGACCTCAGTTGTCAGGCAGTCTGAATTATCTACTCCCCACACCAACCATAGGGCTTCATATATAATATAAAGCAGTGCTAATTATCATATTACACATTAGGGCTTCCCTGGTAGCTCAGACAGTAAAGAATCCACCTGCAATGCAGGAGACCTGAGTTGATCCCTGGTTTGGGAAGATTCCCTGGAGAAGGGAATGGCAACCCACTCCAGTATTCTTGCCTGGAAAACCCCATGGGCAGAGGAGCCTGGTGGGCTACAGCCCTGATGGCTCAAAGAGTCGGACACGACTGAGCGACTGTCACACCAACCATGTCACAGAACACTAACCAATGCTGGAACTTCCCCAATGGCTCAAATTGCCACAGTCAGGCCTCAAACTGCCCTCGCTTTCATCTCCTTGCTTGAAGAGAGAAATAAAAAAGCTACTGCAATGCACACTGAGACTGACCAATGAAGGAATGGCTGGGAAGCTTCCAGTTCTCTAGGTAACGTAAGACACAGTGAAACAAAGCAATGGAGTTCCCAGGGTCATTAACTACTGGTCTTCACGTCACCTCCCCTTTAGAGCACAGCCTCTGAGTTCTCTCCTTTGGCTTCCCTCTAGCGACTGGATGTCTGACAGCCATCAAGGCAGGGCTGGAGGAGGCAAGGAGATGAGGCCCACAAAGATGGAGTTCTGCTTTACAGATGTCTTTTTTTAAGTTGAAAGCAATAAATCTGTTCTTGTTTAAGTGGCAGATGGATTGTTCCTTACAAAGGAAAGTGAACCCATATGTCTGGAAGGGAAAAAACAGAGCAACAGTCAAGATCTGGGTCTATGTGCTTATTGAATAGCTTAGCCATCAGCCATGAATAGTGGGCTAAGTCAGGATGAAAGTGTTATTCTCCTCTCTGAAGCACCTTACCTGTATTTAACCCATTTATTACCTTTTACAACAAATCTAAGATGTAGTCATTACTGTCATTTTCATTTTACAAAAATAAGGCAACTGTGATTTCCCTGGTGGTGG